TCTTTACGTTTCCCCCATGTCACTTTTCGGAATGTCCGGTTTAAGGTTTTTACCTGCTTCTAAGCAACTTTTGCAGTGATTTGCTGTGGCCGCGATATTTCGATGCATAAGGGGGATCCACACGTCCTTTGCGGCCGCAAACATCTTGTCCCGCCCATGATGCTTGTAATGTAGGCGAGTCAGAATTGCTGATGATAGGTCCTTCGGTATTGCTAACCGGCCGTCCATCCACAGGCAATTCTCACGTACAGCGAAGTCGTTGTAATGCTGGGCGTAGTATTGTCCTAATTTTGTAATAATCTCCTTTGCTCGTGGGTTTTTGTCTCTGATGTTGTCTCGGATGGTCTTCATAATTGGGTCTTTTTCAATGTTTGCTTCAATCAATTTTAAATTCAAAACTTCCGGGTGATCAATTTTCGTCACTATTTTACTATCCGATGGCACTATAGAATAGATCCATTTTTCATTTTGTACAAGTGGGTACGATAAACCGGGGAACTGATGTGGAAAAGATACAATTGTATTCAGTTTTTTAGAATTAGTTTGTTTAATATCAAGTTTTCGGGTGGTATCATTTCAATATCGGAATCTGAACTAACGCTAGGAGGTTGATTTAGGCGGTTCAGTACAACATTTAGATTAACATTTCCCAAATTAGTTGATGTGTTGACTATTGCCGAAGTTGGAGGAACATTTTTCTCTGGCGAATTACTCATTTTTGTATATTTTGGGTTACTCAAGTTGTTTCGAATTAGGGTTTTGCTACTGTACTTTTTCGAAGTAAATGGCTTTTCACTATAATCTTTACTACTGTAAGTGACTAAGTAAGTGGCTCTCCACTGTAATCTTGTAAGACTGATGGTTTGCAACTGTAGGTTTTCAACGCAGAAGGCTTGCAATTGTAGTTAGTTGAAATAGAAGGGTTTTGAGAGTATTGGGTCAATTTTTTGTGTTTGCAACTGTATTTTAAGCAATGAGAACAAAGTCTGAATCTCGTTCTTCGGTATTTGCATATTTCCGCCGGTATGCAAATATCTCGACGCTGATTGGTTAACCGCCGGTTGCATGTAAACACGCCCTCTATTGAGCGTTTGTGCTCACGGTGAATATTTGCATTATCGTATTTTCTTTCGTTCTCATTGGATGAAACTGATTTCGTTACGTCGAAACATGACTGTTCGCCCCCTACCGTCGGTTTTCGCTTAATGCTATTCACTTCCTGACCCCTAGGCTTCGTTTTATCCTTGGGCCTTAACGCCGCGTTTATCATTCTTATCTTTGCTACTAAAATTTTCATCGTAATGACTTGTCTCGGGTGCCACTGCGGACGGAAACCGAGACAAATAGTCAGCCATCCCCATTTTTGACCCTTGTCTATGTTCAACTTTAAAGTCGTATGGCACCAATCGATCATACCATCTTGTTAATCGGCTGAAAAATGTTTTATTTCCTTTCGGTGACGAATTCAACAATGTAAGTAGCGCTTTATGGTCAGATATTACTGTGAAATACCGACCGTATATATAATTTCGAAAATGTTCCGTCGCCCACACTACCGCGAGTAATTCTAATTCGTTTGTGGAGTATTTTTTCTCAGCCGGATTAAGATAACGGGATGCAAACGAAATCGGGTGCCACCCGGATACGCCATACTGTTCTAAGACGGCCCCTAGGCCATCGTGACTAGCGTCACAAATAATTCTAGTTTCACGGTGAATGTCGAAGTGTCGTAATTCGACAATATTTTCCACCAGCGATTTTAATTGTTGGAACGCATTTTCGCAAACGGATGTCCAGACAAAATCGTTATTTTGACTCAGTAGTGGCCTTAATGGTGCGCTTAATTCAGCGAGTTTGGGTAAAAATTTGTGCAAGCTGTGTAGTGAACCCATCAGAGATTTCAACTGCTTTCGAGATTTTGGGGTTTTCAAGTCTTCTATTGCTTGTGTTTTTCTTACTAAGGGCGTGATACCACTTTCCCCAATTCGAAATCCGAGCCATTCGCACTCTGTTTTCGCAAATTCGCATTTTCGCAGTTTTAACGCGACATTGGAGACATCTAGCTTTTTCAATATCTTTTCCACCAACGCAATGTGTTCGATCTTAGTTCCTTTTGACGCAATTAAGATATCATCAATAAACGCGTTAGCCTGGGGGAACTCCTTAATTAAGTTATCAATTACCTTCTGGAATTCCGCCGGCATTGACGTAAGTCCGTAAAATCCGTTTTTAAAACGATAAGTCCGTACGCATATGTGAAACCCAATGTTGTAAAATATACATTCCCCGATTTTTTCTCCGCGATAATCTGACTTACTCCGTCTAATAATTCGTCAATATTTGGCATTTGGTACTTATTTTTGTGTACCTGTTTGTTCAATTCTCTTGATTCTAGTGCTAATCTTATGCTTCCGTCCTTTTTTACTGTAATGACGATAGGAGAGACGAAATACTTATCAGAGCACTCTTGTAATTTTACGATATGTCCTTCATTTATCAGCCGATGAATTTCTTTATCCACCTTTTCTTGTAGACTGATTGGCACCCTGCGCCCTTTTTGTTGTATAGGCTTCAAATTTTCAAAAAAAATCAGCTTTTACTTTCGCATTCCGGATCTTTCCTATCCTAGTAAATAAATTTGGGTACAACTTACAGAAGTATGTTTGCAATTCGTCGTATTCCTCCTCCTCTTGACTGATCCCTTCCCCTGTGATTCCCATCACTTTTTTTCGTTGGACTAACTCGAGACCTAGGGTGCCCATCAGATCGCGCCCCAGGATTGACTGATGATTTCCGGATATTACTGACACTTGTGCTGGTGCTGCCCAGCCATTTATGACATCATCACTGTTACCTTCCCTAGTATGTTTATTCGATTGTTGTTGTAATCCAGAAATTCCTCTTTTGACGGCTGTAGTTGAATATTTGCTTTTCCTAACGTTGTTTTTAGGTCGTTGATGCTGAAAATAGTCACTGGGGATCCACTATCGATCCACAACCACATCTTCTTCCCTGAAACCTCCACTTGAACGCGGGCCCCAGGGATTTTCAATTCTGTTTCATTCTTCTTCCTTTTTATCGACATTACCATGTAGTCGTCCGATCCCGACGTCATGGATTCATTTTCCCCGCACCCCTGCTGATTCACCCACGACACTGGGTCTTCATTCATTTCATTTACGTTTTGCGTACTCTGATGATGCTCATTTTCCTCCCTGACTAATCCGACTCGTCCTCGTCCTCTCCATTGGTTAGTCCCCCTTCTAATTCCTCGACATGTTCGTTCAAAATGTCCCAATTTTCGGCACGAGTTACATGTTGCTCCCTTTGCAGGACAGCTCGCGATGTGATCCAGGGTAAAATTTGGTGCGTCGCAATTGTAACACCTACGGTTATTTCCGCTTCCCCCACTACTACTTGATCCTTGGGTGTATCCTCCACGTCCCGCACGTCCTCGGCCTCGAAAAAATCCTTGTCCCCTTCTTATATTATTTACCGGTTCCTGTTTTATTGATATTGCCGGAGCTGATGAAGCTGGTTTTCCCGTATATGATTTGTATGCGCGCTCACCACGTTCATATGTTAAGGCGATCCGGTAAACTTCCTCGGGTAACTTAGTTGATCGTGATAATTTTCGTTGACAATCCGATTCCCGCATATTCATAATGAAAATATCACGAACATTTTCGGCCGCATTTGCGAAATCACATCTTCCTTCTAGGGCGCTTAGCTCCGCATGAAACTTTTCGAACGTTTCGTTCTCTCGCTGTTTTCGTCCGTAGAAGAGTCCCCGATCATGAGTTACATTCCTCTCACGTTGGAAAACATTTTGCATCTCATCCAGGACCCGTGGGTACCGTTCCGTTTTAATGTAAACCGTCGGTTTTCGTGCTTTGAATATTCGTTGCGCCTCATCTCCAATACAAAGATATAAGTTTGACTTTAACTTCTTTTCCGAATCGAGACGGTTTCTTCCATTGACTTCTTCAGGCAACGCCGTGATAGCCGCCGCATTTAGAGTACTCGCAAATAGAAATCATCGGGATCAATGTCGTATTTTGCTATCATCCCCCAGTGAAATTTAATTATCCACTCCTCCCAATATACTGGACGTTCCGGCGTTCTTGTTTCCCAAAATGCTACTATGTTTAATGGATTTTTCCCCCTCCTTTTTTCTCTGCTGGCTGCGCCATGTTAAAGTCGTAAGTTTAGAAATTCAAAAAGGTTGTTAATAAGTTGTATTGTAGACAAACTGTTAGGCATCAAATCGAATTCTTACTGCACTCTTTTATTTCAGATCCCATCGGACATTAGAGATCGCAAGGTCAGGACAGCAGGTCTCCAGACAGAAAGAAGAATTGATAGCACTTACATAAACTCAAACTGGTGTCTATCTAGAAGAATTGATAGCACTTACATAAACTCAAAACTGGTCCCTATCTTATTCGGGCAACCACAAAAAAATTTTAAAGCGTAGATAAAATTTATCAACTGTTTGGTATTGTATAAATAAACTCAAACTGGTGTCTATCTAGAAGAATTGATAGCACTTACATAAACTCAAAACTGGTCCCTATCTTATTCGGGCAACCACAAATTCTACATTGTTGCTAATTGAAAAATCTGGTTTTCCTGTCAGTGGACATACCAACACATATACTTAATATTTAAAAAAATAAGATCATCAGAATTTCTCCTGGCTATGGTATCTTTGATAAATTAGCCAGAGCATTCGATTTACACTGACTTAGTTGATAACTAAGAATTCTATCTTCGGAATTCAGATAACACTTTAACTTATAGGAAAACTCAAGTAACATTTAAGAATTAGTGTGACAAGTTTTTTGCCATTTTCCCCCTGATAACTGTTTGTACTTAAAATAATTGCTATTGCTTAAAATATACTATAATGCTTAATTTTGATGTGAACGTATATGACATACACTTGCTGTCTTGAATTAATTTCGAAATGCAATTAGTGTTCATTTTTTAAAACTAACCTCTCAATTTGCTTTTCAGTGAAGGATGTTTTATACTTGATTTCCAAGATTTCATCTGGTTGAAGCATGCATGAATTCCTTGATCCCATCTTCTTCTAAAAAATTTCATGATACAATTTAGAATGACTACAATAAGTCTGAAACATTTGTACGAAGTGAAGCTGGCAGCAGAATCAGACGAAAATTAAAAGAGTAAGTGTAGCATTCGCCCAAACATTTCATAGCAACGGAAACTAGAAAGTCCCTATTGATGACTGACACTCAACAGATATCTTGATTCCACGTTTTTTTTTCACGGTATCGACCTAGCCAGTTGATTTTTGGTCGGTTTAAGGGCCAAACGAATCTTAAATAGCTTGCGACTACAAGCAAATAATGACCACGCTGGGCCGCGGATCACCAGAAAAAAGTGACAATGACTAAACATAGGGCTAAAAACTATTATTTTAGCGTCAGTTTCATATCGAATCTATTAGCGATGGAATAACCCTCAGCTCGTCCTCAACCACTCAAATTGAAATAAACAACTAGTTCGGAATTAATGCAACGTACGATATGCCAAAAATAGCAATTATTAGGCCATTTCCCGGATGGCTCAGCGGAAGCTCCAATCGTACGAAAAAAAAACGGCGTTAAAGGCTTATTGCTGAAGTCGTAACAAAAAAAATTCTGGATGTTAAATTTTAGAAAAATTCGAGTTGAGCAAGGATATTTCTCAAAAATACGAAAAGAAGGCAATTTTCTTTACGATGTGTCAACAGAAGAACAGCCGAAACACACGAAAAAAAATGGTCGTTAAGAAAGAGAGAAAACGGCATAATGAAAATTCAAGATTCGGGCATAACGCCCAGACACGGTGACTCTGCTTTTGCATTCATTTTCTTGGTTTGTTCGCTAATCAAAATATTCGCTGGTATTGTAGAGCAAATTGCACCACGAAAAATATCATCCTCCTTTGATAGTGATAAACCAAATAGCCTCATTTTTGGACACAGAGGCTAAGCTGAGCTTTGCACCACTTGCGATACAACTAAGTTTATCAAAATGAACGACGCTAGTTGTTAAAAATGTAACAGTCGCCTACTTATGTCACATATGAGGTTCAGAAAAACAGGCCCTATAACCATTGGCTCAACGGTCAGGGACACTATCTCTTGTGCTTTTGTACCTCATTCAGTCGGAGTCAATTCGGTTCGTGTAAGACATGAGACTGCAAATCGTGTTACCGCTTGAAGGCCACTACCAAAATACCCTCCTCTAGAAATAAGAACACCCCCATGGCCAGGTGTGGCATTCGACCAGAATGGCCAAAATGCAATTTATGCAGACTTCGAATTTTTAGCAGTAAGCCTTCCGGATTTGTGGTTATTAAGAACTAAGAACGTTATTGGAACGATTAGCCAGACGGTGAGTGCTGGAATATTCTAGTATTTTTAAATTTCAAAAAATCGAATTGTGACGTCATATTTCTGAGAAACGTCAGAAACGGCCATTTTGGCTGGAAAACGAGAAAAACAAGAACAATTTATCTGCGATAGCGAACAGGACGAAAATCGAAATTAAAAACGACAACGAACTACAGAATAGCAGAGGACGTTCCGAGTTACAACTATTGTGCTGCTACAATAGTTGCAAGGCCGTTGCGAACAACGGTGAAGGGTAAGAAACTAGCCTTCCGGAATAGGAGGAAATCAAGATTAACGAGCTTGATTTAGCGGATTCGTCAATCCGGAAGGGTAAAGGAACTGAAACTTTTATCCTGCCACGTAAACTTTTAGCATCATGTCATGTCCTGACTTGAATTTAATTGATATTTGGATTAGTTTTGACAAGGATGAGGTGCTAGGAGTTGGGGGGGAAAGGGTTGATCCATCTTCGATGGAGATGATGATTTTTATCTACTGAACAAAAACAATAGTAATATAATAAGTAGTAGCCCTGTTTTTAGGAGTGACCTCGTGGTCTGGGGATACTGAGACCCAGCCATGAGCTCACTAGTTGCATGTAATTAAGTTAATTTGAGCGTTCTGGTCGAAGCCGGAGAGCAGTAACGCCTTCCGGATTACCGTGAACAGTTTTTTAACCTAGTTAAGACCGAAAATTCACGAACCAGGAAGGGTGGGGGGAATCGCGAACCCCTCATCCCCTGAGTGGTTTGTGACCAAAAACACTTAAAGATATAAGTAAAACCAAACAAAAAGTAGTATAGTACCCAAGAAAAACAAAAAACACAAAAAATTGCCGAAAAAACCAAAAACAGTAAAAAAGTAGAAAATCAGTAGAAATCATCCCCCCAGACAAGATGTGATCCAACCCCCCCCCCCGTTTGTTGTTGATAGATATATTGTTGTTACAGGCATTTATATCAGTCAGGATCGTTACGATCAGTTTTGTAGCCGTTTGTGAGGCTTGTACTGTAGGGTTATTTGAGCATTTAAGCACGTTAATGATAAATTGCGCCCAATCCGGAAGGGTCAGCTGATTTGCGCTCAATTCGGAAGGGTCTTGGGAGAAGACTGATCCGGCAAGCAGTACAAGGAGCAACAAGAAGAGGCTCAACGACGACAACAATCGACTGTTGGGTATCGTTAACAAGTTTTGTATCCCTTTTGGTACAAAAATTAAGATAGTAATCTGTGGGGTGCTCGACAGTGCTGCACTGTAGTGACCCTTCACCGAACTGCGAATATCCGAGTTAAGCACCTTAATTCGGATATTAAGGAAACCCGGAGGGGTATAGTATTACTAATATTATTATTTATATAGCCTATATTAATAGTCTTATATCGTGTTTCAGTGAAAAACAGCGAGAACAGACCGGTTTTTAGGGTCAAAATTGCGATATTTTGATCCCCCCACAAGTCGCGATTTTTGAGATGTCAATATTTTTTGAAACGGAAAAAAGCGCTAAGTTAGTCTGTTACATCGTAACTGCACTACCATAATAGATAGAACCGGTTAAGTTAAGTTCGAAGGTGGTTGGAACTATTTTGGTACCGAAAACTGAAATTTCGTGATTTTTGAGAAAACGGAACACTATAAATTTAGAAAATTTTTTGAAATTTTTGAGTTACGACAGTAAAAATAGTTGTTTGGACAACGTCCACTAGTGAATCTACGAGTTTCAAAACCCGCTACCCGAAAGCCTTCCGCGTTCCAGAGAAATCGAAGATAACGTGTTTGATTTGGTGGATTCATCAATCCGGAGGGGTCCAGGTAGCATAGTTTTTCGCAGATTTTTTCTGCTAATGCGTTTTAGATCGGGTCTTTTGCATTGAACTAGAAGAGTATCGGCCTTCTGAGCTCGGATCAATAATTTTTAGGACGAAAGGACCAGAATTGCGGAAAAAGTTAGGTGGAACCTATAAGTGAGAAGTTTTTTGAGTTTGCAAGAAAGACGTTTTGGCTAATAACTTTTCGACAACTGGACAGATCCGGTTAATCTTGGTACCATTAGATCAGAAATTAGCTGAACTTACTAGTAGGAAAAAGAATTACTCGAAAAAGCGAGCGAGAAAATTTTTTGAGATTGTTTTTAGCAAATTACACAAATCCGGAGGGGTACACCCTTCACGTTTTACAAATTTTTTTAGAAAAGCCCTTATACCCCTACTAAAAGGCAATAGCGGTTGAATAAAGTAACTTTAGGCCGTTCTAGACGAAAAGGGAGGGCTAAAGGCACATCAAAAGCTTAATCGAGCCGAAGTTAGGCGAGTAATAAGACCCTTCACCGTTAGTGTGAATTGTCAAATAGGAGGCTTAACTTCAATCCGGAAGGGTCTAGGAAGGTAGTACATACCCTTCCCAGTTAATTGAAAGAGCATAATTGCATCGGAGAACGTATCCGGAGGGGTATAGGTTGAAAAAAGGAAATCTCCGAAAAGCTACTTTTACAAAACCGGAGGGCTCCCAATCCGGAGGGGTCAAAGATTTTTCAAGTTAGAGGGGTCCGAAACCGGAGGGGTCTTATAGTTGCTAATTCGGAGGGGTCCAAATCCGGAGGGGTCTTATATTAATCAACTCAGAGGGGTCCCAATCCGGAAGGGTCTAGATTTTGTTAGTCCGGAAGGGTCCAATTTGTGCCAATCCGGAGGGGTATTATTTTATTAAGGACTTAGGTAGACGAAAGAAAGACTAAAAAGTGAGAGGTATTAGGTTACTAGCACACAGGCTAGGTATCAGTGACTGCACTGATAACTTGCCTTTCAATAAGAACCAGACTAATACAAAACAGGTCCGAACTCGGATATTCGCGACACTATTGTACTGCGACCGACTAAGAGTACAAGACACATACGTTTTTTTTATATATACATTCATATTGTGTCAAAATAAATTTTTTGTTTTTGATTTTAAATCAACGTAAACTGTGCTTGATTGGGTAGTAAGTACACTATCTTTTAAATTGACTGATAACATCATATTGTGCTAATTTCAAAATCTTTGGACCGATAATCGGTTAGTGTGAATAAATACAGGGATTCGTGGTCACTATTTAATAGAATCTGGTGAAATTTATTGTGTTGTGTCATTATTATTGTTAATAAAACTATAAGGTCTCTAGCAATTGAGTCAAGAATAGGCATTGGAAAGTGACAACCAGAGAATGAGTCTAGACAAGTCAAGGATACCAAAACGAGGTAATAGCTCTAGGAAATTCATACCTGAAAAGCAAAGAAAAACGATGACCGATCCTTTTGTGGATTGGATCAAGCGATCCCGGTCTGACAAAAGGGGGACGATTTCAGGCAGAATGGTTGAAACGAGAAGTCAGAAGACCTCGGAAGAACAAAAAGAACTGTTAGAAGTGGAGGTCAATACGGACCATACCATGAATGACAACCAGGAAGTAAATGGACTGGGAGGAAGAGGCAGAAGGCTGGCGAGTGAATCTACCCCGGTAGAACAAGGCCATGATTTTGCCACTTCCACCGGGACATTGGATCGGGAAGAGATGTCGGAACTGTCCGACATCTCAACTGAAGTAGCGGCAACTAGAAGATCTCCGACAGACAACACTATGATGGCAAGCGGAACTGGGAAACAAACAACGTCATCATCGTTCTCAGAAAGAATGAAGAACACCTTCGGAAACATC